AGAAAAGCTAAAAAATTCTTCAAACAAATCAGAGCTTCCTAAAATCCCGGAGGAAGACTTGCCCCAAAAACGCTACTGATGCTGCAACGTGAAAAGAAGAAACAGTAGAAGAACATTAATGAGTTCATTATGAAGGAAATGAGTAAGTCAAAGAATACAACTGCCAACACTCAGCACCAGAAAGGGCAAAGCAAAATCTTGTATCAGTGACCTCAAGGAAAAATAGATGATATCATGAAAATAGAAGAGAAAAAGATTTATAGATCAGCATTAATCTACACACAGAGCCTGCCCCTGGCCACTGTTGCCCTTTTGGGGAAAAATTTGTCATGTTAAGTAAAATGCTACAATCCAGAAGCCCAGGAGCGCCCTCTGAGGCCCGTGACTACTGACTATTTCTTCCTGTCCCTGCCCAGGCCAGAGGGGAAGGCATGTGGGAGTGGGGTCGGGCAGCGGTGTGGATTTCCCATCCTTGCAATCTGGGGGACTCCAGATCTATACCATTTGTTCTAGAGACTTTTAAAATTTAAAAATTATATATTTTTAAATATAAAATGGACTATAAAATCCAGCTCCCAGAAGCATGTGGCTGCATTTGCAGCCGTGCGACATCTTATTATCTCATTCTTACTTTGGACAACCTGGCAGGCTACTGAATGTAACCTGCCCACAGAGTTTTTCATTTTTTTCATTTCATCATCCTGTTATTCGTCGATTGCCTCGAGCAGGCCCCAGTAACGTCTCTTTCATCCTAGCCCTGAGATTATATTCAAGGCTCTTTAGGAGAATGAGACCCATCATTGTTACTGGTATTTGGCATATTTGGTACGCCACGGGGAGTTTGCCAGACTCTGCCCTGTGGGCAGGCTACATTTGATAGCCTGCAAGTTTGTCCAAAGTAGGAATGAGATAATAAGATGTCATGAAAAAGATGTCCTGATAAGATGTCGCGCGGCCCACACAGTAGAGTCTGGCAAACTCCCAGTGGTGTACCTGATATGCCAAATACCAGTAACAATGATGGGTCTCATTCTCCTAACCCTAAAGAGCCTTGAATATGGCACTTTTTAAAATCTCATGGGTAGGACGAAGGAGACGTTACTGGGGCCTGCTCGAGGCAATCAACGAACAACAGGATGATCGTGATCATGATCGAATAAGAAAAACATCCACATCATAGAGACTCCTGAAGGAGAAGAGGGAAAACTGCTGATAGAAGAAATTGTCAGGGCTGACAAGATGGTACAGGAACAAGGTGCTTGCCTTGCATGCTGCTGACCATTGTTTCAAATCCCTAGTACTGTATATGGTCCCTTGAACACCAAGGGTCACTCCTGAGCACAGAGCCAGGCATTGCAACTGAGCACTGTTGGGTATGGTCCAGAACAAAAATTTAAAAATAGACAAAAATTTGAGAATGAACACATATTCTGACTCAGGAAACCTAAAGAGTTACAAAACCAGTAAGCCTAAGGAGAACAAAGGGAGAGAGGGGAGAGAGGAGAGAGGTGTGGGTTCAACCCCAAAGACGCTACATGGTCACCCAAGCCCTATCAGGAGTGATCTCTGAGCAAAAAACAAGAAGCCCTTACACTGCCTGGTACGACCCCCACCCCCCAAAATTAAAAAAACTTATCAAGCATCCAATTTGTGTCACTTACATTAAATACTTAAAAATATCCACACTTTGGTCAGAGAATCAAAGTCACTACATCACTACTTTTCAGAAAATACTATTCCTGCTCTATCTATGTAGATACTGTGACATGGAGCAAAAGGTAACACCTTTCATTATACAGTCTACCCTACGAAGAGCAATCCCTGGAGTTGTAGAAAGCTGTAACCCTGACACTCCAAGAGTACAGGATGCATGATTTGTATTTATTATGATCTCTGGCATAATTTTTTTTTTTTTTTTGCTTTTTTGGATCACACCCGGCAATGCTCAGGGGTTACTCCTGGATCTGCACTCAGGAATTACTCCTGGCGGTGCTCAGGGGACCATATGGGATGCTTGGAATCGAACCCGGGTTGGTTGCATGCAAGGCAAACACTCTACCCACTGTGCTATCATTCCAGATCCTCTGGCATAATTTTCAAGCTTAAAAATAAGGCCTGAATCTGGAATACAGCTCAGTGGTAGAATACATACCTGTATCTATTGGCCCTGGTTTTAAACCCCTACAGAACATGAAACACTGAAACATAAAAATACAAAACAAAAAATTTAAGTTTCTACTGGCCAAACCACTGAATGGTCAGGCCTGTACTGCCAGAGAGGTTATCTCAGGAGTTGCGCCAGGCATCACCAGAGAAAGTCGTACCCCTCCAAAAATAATAAGAATAAAGTTTAATAAGGCTCAAATTAAAATAACAAAAGTCTATCTGTGGTATTAAACTCAATTATACCCCAAACTACAAAGTGACTTATTCATTCTTCTATAACTATTCAACTCCATTTTCCAAATGATATTCTACATAAACAGACTGATCTGTTCCCTTCAACAGTCCTTTCTCTGTTAGCATTTCAATTGCCCTTTAGGCAAACACCTCTCCCCATTCTCCATCCCTACTCTTTAGGCAGCTCCAGGAAGCAGTACAAGATCTAAGCCTGGGCAATCAAATATATGATGATTTAATCAAGAAAAGTGATAGAACCCAAAATAAGTGAGTAAAATTCAGTTCTAGAACTTTTGCTATAATTTTTAAAAAGTTGTTTTTAAACACGTAAGTTCAGGTATTAATAGTTTTCCCTATCCACTATAGGAAGAGCAAAAAGGGCCAACTAAAAAACAAAGCTTACATGCATACACACAAAAAGAGCAAACCAGCAGAGAACTCAATAATCATCTCCAGGGGCTGGAGCAATAGCACAGCGGGTAGGGCATTTGCCTTGCACGCAGCCAACCTGGGTTTGATTTCCAGCATCCCATATGGTTCCCTGAGTACTGCCAGGGGTAATTCCTGAGTGCACAGCCAGGAATAACTCCTGTGCATCACCGGGTGTGACCCAAAAAGAAATGAAAAAAAAATCATCTCCAGTAATGTTTAAAGACCTTAACATACAGGAAGGTCTTATCTAGTTCCTTCTTAAATGTCCAATATGTGAATCAATAAATATTTTTCCTCCTTGATTTTTTGTTTTTGGGTCACATCCAGTAGTGCTCAGGACTGGCTCTGCACTCAGGAATCACTCCTGGAAGGCTCAAGGGATGCCAAAGATTGAACCAGGGTCAGCCTTGTGCAAGGCAAGCACCCTACCCACTGTACTATCTCTCTACCCTCACTCCTTAACTTCTAAGGTTTTGTTAGTTGCTAGTCTTAATTACTATGAATAGTTCCACAAAAAACTAACTTTATCCCATTGTAATAAAACGTTAAAAAGCATTAATTCTGTTTACTCATGGAGGATTGTCTCATCAAACTTGATATTAAATACAAAATTTCCAACGTATATTCACTATGATTACCTAGTCAAATGTGCTTAGGAAAAATGCAAAAATTGATAACCTATTAAGAATGTACATTTCTATCAATCAAATGTAAGTATGCCATAATAAAGAAGGCATGACAAATTAAATTTTATTAAATATGAGAAAACTAAGTCTCCCCACCTAAGGAATAAGACATAAAAATTATCTGCGTTAGTATATAACCCTGTCCTCCCATTGTTCATCAATTTGCTCAAGTGGGCCCAGTAATGTCTCCTTTGTGAGACTTGTTGTTACTGTGTTTGGCATACTGAATACGTTATGGGTAGCTTGCCAGGCTTTGCCATGCGGGCGAGATACTCTCGGTAGCTTGCCGGGCTCTCCAAGAGGGGCGGAGGAATCGAACCTGGCTCAACCAGGCCGGCTGCGTGCAAGGCAAACACCCTACCACTGTGCTATCGCTCCAGCCCGTGTTAGTATATAGGAATAAAAAGAAAAAGAGGTCTAAGAAGAGAATAAAAGATAAGGAAAATGCAACATACAATAGAAAAATTTCTCATTCATTTTTTACCATAAGCACAAAAATATACACTTAGATTTAGCATTTATAGAAAAATGTATTTGTATTCATTTTATAGGTTATTTTACTGCACACTGTAATTTAAAAACAAAAGTTTCTAGCTTTAGAGACTAGAAATATAAATCAGTTATTAATAGGTTAAATTTAGGCTGATTTTATATTTAGGCTGATTCAGGTGCTGCTTTCATCTAGAAAAATTAAACAAGAGTTCTAGAGGCCTCTTCCAGGTTCTGTGGTTTACAGCATGCCCTGGTTTATGGCCATCACTTCAATTTCTGCTCTATGCCCACTCTGTCTTCTTTTCTGTATGTGAAATGTTCTCGGTCTTTCTTTACAAAACATTTCTAGTTACATTTAGAGTCCACCCAGATAATCTAGAAAAACCTACCCATCCAAAGATTCATAATCAAACCAAAACTCAAAATCTTTGTCATAAGGTAATATTTACAGGTTTTAGGGATCACAAAGTAAGTATTTATATGGGACCATTTTCTAGACCACCACAATGTCCTAAGTCATTTCAATATCTGTAATATAGCCAAAAGAGCCAAGAATAAGGAAGTCGTACATATTTTATAATCTCATAATACATTTTTCACAATGCTTTCTACTCATATTTCCATCAACACAAAAGCCTTCTACAAATACATTTAAAATGAAAACTGACTCTAGTAAGAAAACGTCCAATAAGCATAGCCTGGAGAAATGATTCTTTTTATTTGTTTGTTTGCAGAGCCACACTTAACTGTGCTAAGAGTTTATTCCTGGCTCTGAACTCAAAGGTCACTCCTGGCGTTGCTCAGGGTACCATACAGGGTTCAGGGGATCAAACTCAGGTAAACTGTATACCAAACACGTGCTTTGCCTGTTTGTTGTACTATCTCTCCAACCAAGAAGTGATTTAAAATACTCAAAATACTCTTCTTTAAAGAGGCATTATTGAGATGAGTCATTTTATTCCAATTTTTTTAATTAAAGTGAGACTTTACCTCCAGATCCTAACTGCTTGTAGAATCTGTATTCCAAATGTAGTTGTGGTGCTCTGGATTTCATGGGCTCCTAATTAAAAAAAAGAAAAACAGTAACAAAAATTATTACAAGACCAGTAGTTCCCATTAAGGTTATAAATTTTGCTGTCAATTTTTGCATATGTATCTAGTCTAATTTCTGTGCCAATTTAAAAAAAAATGTCCATTCAATGTAAAATGAGTTGATGCCATAAATGTAAAGGTGAAGTTGCTACTAGTCCATGTATTTGTACTTGACTTTTTGACCCTGAAAAATATTTTCTGAATTTTCCTGATTAGGGAAATGATGCCCTTAGTCTATTTCTCCAGTTCCCAGGAATTCATCTTTGAACTGTAAATTTCTAATATAAAAACTAAAATGTAAAGAGAAGTCACAGAAAAGTAAGCATTGCACTGTAGCACTGTCCTCCCGTTGCTCATCAATTTGCTCAATCGGGCACCAGTAACATCTCCATTGTGCGACTTGTTGTTACTGTTTTTGGCATATCAAATACTCCACAGGGAGCTTGCCAGGCTCTGCCATGCGGGTGGGATACTCTCAGTATCTTGCCGGGCTCTCCAAGAGGGATGGAGGAATCGAACCCATGTAAGCCACATGCAAGGCAAATGCCCTGCCCACTGTGCTATTGCTCCAGCCCAGAAACGTAAGAAGACACAAAAATTCAGATAGTCTCAATGTAATTTTAAAAGCTTTCAGTTGAATAAAAGCACAGTTCCCAAATGTTGGCCCATACACTTTTGTTTATATAGCTCTGCAAATCCTTCAGAAGATACGTCTTCTTTGAAGGTGAAGGAGAGAGAACATACCCAGTGGTCCTGAGGGACTATTCCCAACTCTGTGCTGAGGGGACCATATGGTAGCAGGGATCAAACCCTAAATCTCCTATTTGCAACACATACACTCAATCCATTAAACACTCTTCACAGTTGCTGAAATCACTATTTTATTTCTGTCTTTTGTGTACTAGTTTTGTCACTGAATTTCATATCAATGACATTCTACAGTACAGCTCTTTTTACTCAAGATGTCAAGATTTATAAGCACACATATATAAAGACAACATAAAGTAAGAGAAAAAGTAGAGGCAATAACAAGAAATAATTGCTAAGATTTTTCAGGAAATGGTATGAGAAAAACAAATCATATATTCAACAGGAATGTGGATCCCAAACAATAACTATAAATATGTTTACATCAAAACATGTCATAATAAAACTAAAACCAAAGACAAAAAACTTCAGATAAGGTATTAAACTCTCTCAAGAGACAGTATAGTATAGTAGTTAAAAGCAAATGCGAAAACTAAATTGTATTGAGTTTAATCCTGACTCCAATTCTTATTATCTACATAATTTTGACAAGGACTTAATTTTCCTGTATCTTTCAATTCCCCCATCTATAAAGTAAAAATACAATTTACCTATGCTATTACTAAAAAGTGTCTTCCACAAAACAAGCTGCCTTATTTCCTATAATTCTTCACCTACCTATATGAAAGTGCATAAAAAAAGATGCAGAAAAAGATGTCCATTTATGCATCACAAGTAAAACTGAATACATAACTTATTCAATCACTAATTTCTCTAGGTAAAAATAGTAATCTAGTTCTAACTCCATTCAATCTGATACTAGTACTTTAATGCAGTAAAGTTTTATTGTACCACCATATAAGAAAGGCCACCTCACACTGGATGGCATTTTCATGACTCAAGAACACAGTTATATAAGCAAAAACAGTAAGGGTGGTTGACATCAAATTAAGAAATTATTTTAAAACAAACTGCAAAGTGAATTAGGGTAACATTAAACAAATATAAAAAAAATTAAAACCACATTATGATAGCAGAGCTAAAATAAGTACATGAAAGCTGCTCCCTGAAAACTATTATCAAATAATGACTTTATTTGTATCAAAACATAAAAATCAGATAGCAATGAAGACTTATAAACATATTTTCAAATGATTAGTTTTATTGCAAATTTCAAACAAAATCATGCTACTTATTATAGGCAGATACAGCAGATACAAATGAAAATAAAGATATTTTACAAATATATTTAGTAAATTAATTCCAACAGTTTATATGAAATGTTCTGTATTCTTCCAATATATCTTTTGGATGAATTTAAAGCAAACATGACTACATACCATACTTCAACCTCAAAACTACTGCAAACATGGATAGAAAAATATTTCCAGTTCCCCAAAGGAAAACTGAATAGTATTTTTGTATGGGGTGCTATTCACTGCGCACAATAAAAATAGACAAATTAGAGCAGAAGACTGTCAAAATAGGAAAGGAAGAGAAAGGGGACAGTGATATGACAAAGAAAAGCTACAATATATGTTTGTATACACAAGGCATCTAAAAGATACCTTTACTTAGGTATCAATGATATGGACAGAGTAGAAACCAACTAATGACTGAAACATATAAGATCCATCTAAAGCTATCAGCTAAATATCATTCACATGCTCCTATAAGTTCCTACAACTAGAGGTTGCTGTATTGATAACAAAAATAGAGTGTTCACACTTCTATTCTTGTGTCCTACCCTACTTTCAACAGCATACAAGTCCAGAGCGTGGGTAAAAAGAAAATTCCCAAGAAATGAACAGGAACAGGGTTCATTCAAGTATTATGTTGTCCCTGCATCCTGGGTCTCCCTGTTCTGACTGATACTAGCAAATCCCCCTTTATCCTGATATCATGCTCATGTATCTCTGAACTTGGGTTACAGAGAAAACTGGAACTCTATTATAAATTAGAAATCAACTTTACTAAATATTTACATCTTTAACAGTTTGACTATAGTATGAATAGACTGATTTCTGCAAATACACCTGATTAATATTGATAATCTCATTGAGATGAACAAGATCTTCTGTCACGAAGCTTAAGGATAAGGACCAAACTTTAAAAGCAAGAATGAACACATTTAAGTATAAAACCACTCCAACTCCATGTCAATCACTTCTGGTGACACAATCCTGCTGCACACATTTGTTACATTTGAAACTTGGTCTCTACTCAAAAAGATAGTTAGAATTATACAGTACAGTTTCCCATCACATCTTAAACTTTTTCTGTTGCTTGCCAGTTAGGGCTTCCTCTCACTGTTCCTCCTTATACACAGCCTCACTACACTAACAAAATATTACATTGGGAAGAGACAAGACTGAGAAAAGCAGGCAGACAGGGAAAACCAAACTGTGCTGAACTCAAGAGAAACCTGATCAAAACAAACTAGCAAACTAGATCAAAACATTACAGAAGAAAGCAATGTCTTATTAAATTCTCAAATTTCTACTTTTTCAAAAGATCTGCCTTAAAACAACTGGTTTCAACCTCATCTAGGACTTCAGAACAGTCTCACTTTCCCTGCAGTCCTCTACTCAATCAAGTATTTCGCTTTGAGGCCAGAGAAATGGTAAACTGGATAGGAAACTTGCCCTGCACAAGGCCAACAAAATTAGATCCCAGGTACCCCATATGGCCCCCTGACAATCACCAAGAGCGATCCCTGAGTGCAGAGCCAGGAGTAAGCACTGAGACTTGCTGAGTGTGGCACAAAAACAAAGGATTTTCCCCCTTTCCTGCAATCCTCTAACCACATCAAATATTTCTAATCCCTTAGATCAAGCAATCAACAACTTATCACATATGAAATATCAACCAAAAAAAACAATGAGAGGGTTCAGAGGGGAAATGGAAGACAGTACAGCAGTGAGATGTACCCAACCAGAGTTCAATTCCCTGCACCACCTGGTACATATATGGCCCGATAGGTGGCCCAACTATTCCTGGCACTGCAGAGACTGAGCAGCATCACATAAATGGGTAAGAATAGTATTTTGATCTGGCCTCTTTCACTAAACCAATGGCCCAGTTGACCAAAATTGCCAATGGGGCCTTGACTTCCTGTGCACAACTTGAGAAGCCTGTGTCCCCTGCTCCCTCCCCCCGCCCCCAAAAAAGGAGATTTTTGAAGCTGTCATTTAAATAATAATCCAGATAACATGAACACTTTTGTACTAATCACTGAATCAGAAAGATAAAGCTTGCTTTATACCTTTTATTGAATTTTAAAATGCCAATATGCCAGCTTCTTAAATTTAAAAACAGTACAAAAACTCAAATCTTATAATATTTCCAAGAAAAAGGGGTTCTATGCTAAAAAAAAAAGACATAGACATCTCTATAGATTACCTTATTCTTGAGGAATAGGATCATCCTGGGAATGTAATATAAAATAACAGCTAAAATGCAATTTAATTATTAACAAAAAATTGTAAGAAAAGAAATATAAACTTACCAGTTTAATTGCCACATATTCATTTGTGTATAAATTTTTCCCTTAGAAAAGAAAGAAAAAAAGTCAGAATCTTTACTTTTTTTTTCTTATTTATTTATTTTTGATTAGTTATGTAGTGAACAAGTCATTATTCAGTAAACTCAGAATCTTTACTTTTAATGATAGATTATACAAAAGTGTACTCTCTAAAAGCCATTTTTAAATGATGCATAGGTTTTGGCTTCCAACTAGAGGCAAAAATATATTAATGACAACATTATATTTAAACTTATGATCAGCTCAAAAGTATTTAGTATTACAGCTGGGCTCAGTTGAAAATAATACCAGTAATACTAGACTACTGAAAAAGACAAAGATTTTTATTTTGTTTGAATATTGCATATAAAAATAGAATTTTAATTTTGTTGGAATACTGCATAATACTTAGAATGAAACCAATCATCAAACACAAGTTTATTTAAACAAAATCCACAATTCCAGTACAGAAGGAAGGGAGATACTTCAGGGGTTATAGTGCAATCCCCAGCACCACTAACCTCCAGGGTGTGGCCCCCTGCACTGCACAGCCTGAACAGCTACACATCCTTAGCACAGTTGACCTAGTATCACTAGTAGCTCCCAACCCCGAGTACTACTTGGCAGAAAGTAGTGGGGGGTGGGGGGGAGGGTGGAGAAAGAGGAGAGGGAGGGGGAGAGAGGGGGAGAGAGAAAGAGAGAGAGAGAAAGAGAGAGAGAGAGCGCACATAAAATACCACTCCCAACCACTATTTTATTATTTTTTAATTTATTATTGAGGGGGTCAGAGAGATAGTATAGCAGGTAGGGTGTTTGTCTTGTATGCAACCAACCCGGGTTCAATCCTCAGCATCCCATATGGTCCCTCAAGCACTGCAAGGAGTAATTCCTGAGTGCAGAGTCAGGGGTAGCCTCTGAGCATTACTGGATATGACCCAAAAAGAAAAAAAAATACATATATATATTATTGATATTACTTTTGTGGGTTTTGGCCATCCCCAATCGTGCTCAGGGCATACTACTGGCAGTGCATAGACCATATGCAGTTCCAGAGATCAAACCGGGGTTGGCCACATACAAGACAAATGTACATTACTTCCTATACTAGCTCTACAGTCAAACAACTTGATTTTAAAGCCTTCATTATTAAGGGACATAATCTTATTAGGGCTAATATTTAAAATAGTAAATATATCAATTTGTATAAAACCTAGACTATATTAAAAGTATTATTCCAGGGCCAGAGATAGTACAAGGGTAAGTATGTCTTCATTGGTAAAGGTCTGTCCAGCTCTCCCACTTTTTTGATGGAATTGTTGAGTTGAGTTTTTTTCTTGTATGTTAGCCTTTTGTCAGATTCATGGTATTCCAATATTTTTTCCCATTCAGAAAAAAACTGTACTTTATTTTTTTTTCCCTTTATTTTATTTTATTTTTTTTAAAGTTGTAGATTTACAATTTTTTGTGCTTTGGTTTCAATTATACAATGATCAGATACCCATCCCTCCACCAGTGCCCATTTTCCACCACCATGGATAATATCCCTCCCACCCCCATCCCCCCATCCCCCCTGTCTCTGTGGCAGGGCAATCCCCTGTGTTCTCTCTCTCCTTTTGGGTGTTGTGGTCTGCAAAAGAGGCATTGAGTGGCAAACATGTTCAGTCCATAGTCTACTTTCTACATGCATCTCCCCTCCTGGGAGGATCCTCCAAACATCCTTTATTTGGTGCTCCCTTCTCTATCTGAACAGCCCTTTCCTCTAGGATACCTGGCTGGCCTCTAAGTTATGGAGTAATCCTCCTGGTGCTGATCTCAGCTATTCTTGGGTATTAATCTCATACTTTGTTACTTTATATCCCCCAGATGAATGCAATCTTTCTATGTCTATCCCTCTCTTTCTGACTCATTTCGCTTAGCATGATACTTTCCATATTGTACCACTTGTATGTAAATTTCATGACTTCATCTTTTCTAAGAGCTGCATAGTACTCCATTGTGTAGATGTACCAAAGTTTCTTTAACCAGTCATCTGTTCTTGGGCATTCAGGTTTCTTCCAGTTTCTGGCTATTGTAAAGAGTGCTGCAATGAACAAACAAGTGCAGATGTCACTTCGACTATACATTTTTGCCTCTCTGGGATATATTCCCAGGAGTGGTATTATTGCTGGGTCAAATGGGAGCTCAATTTCTAATTTTTTGAGAATCGTCCATACTGTTTTCCAGAAGGGCTGAACCAGCGGACATTCCCACCAACAGTGAAGGAGTGTCCCTTTCTCGCCACATCCACGCCAGCATCCGTTGCTTTTGTTCTTTTGAATGTGGGCCAGTCTCTGAGGTGTGAGATGGTATCTCATTGTGGTTTTGATCTGCATCTCCCTGATGATTAATGATGTAGAGCATTTTCTCATGTGCTTTTTTGCCATTCGGATTTCTTCTTTGAGAAAGTTTCTGTTCATTTCCTCACCCCATTTTTGGATGGGGTTGGATGTTTTCTTCTTGTGGAGTTTAACCAGTATTTTGTATATCCTGGATATCAACCCCTTGTCAGATGTGTATTCGGTGAATATCCTTTCCCATTCTGTAGACTGTCTTTGTATTTTGGTCACTGTTTCTTTGGAGGTGCAGAAGCTTCTTAGTTTAAGATAGTCCCATTTATCTATCTCTGTTTTCACTTGCTCGGCCAGTGGCGTGGCATCTTTGAAGATACCATTAGCTTCAATGTCATGGAGGGTTTTGCCAACTTTATCTTCAATGTACCTTATGGTTTCTGGTCTGATGTTGAGGTCTTTAATCCATTTTGATCTTACTTTTGTACATGGTGTTAGGCAGAGTTCTGAGCCTATTTTTTTGCATGTAGCCGTCCAGTGATGCCAACACAATTTATTAAAGAGGCTTTCCTTACTCCACTTCACATTACTTGCACCTTTATCAAAGATTAGATGAGCATATGATTGAGGAGAGATGTCAGTGTATTCAACCCTGTTCCATTGGTCTGCAGTTCTGCCTTTGTTCCAGTACCATGCTGTTTTAATTATTACTGCTTTGTAGTACAGTTTGAAGTTCGGGAGGTTGATTCCTCCCATTTTCTTTTTCCCAAGAATTGCTTTAGCTATTCGTGGGGGCTTATTTTTCCATATAAATTTCAAGAGTGTTTGCTCCATTTCTTTGAAGAATGTCATGGGTATCCTTATAGGGATTGCATTGAATTTATACAATGCTTTCGGTAGTATTGCCATTTTGACAATGTTAAGTCTCCCGACCCATGAGCAGGGGATATCTTTCCAAAAACTGTACTTTATTTTAAAGATAGTTACTTTCATTTTAAAATGACAAAGTTTTATATGACTACAAGTTTGAGACTACAATTCCAATCTCCCTTTCAGCTTGGTATGGCCACTTAATCAAGTTCTGAAAATGAGTAAAGGTGAATCTCTCCCTTCAAAAACCAAAGCATATTCTCCAGGCCCTTCTTCTTGATGGCCAATAGATTTAAAAAACTGAAGTAATCAACTTAGTACTGAGACTAAATTTAGCCACAAGAGAATTCAGATGTACCCATGCTCAGGTCCATTTTGTGAAAGAAAAATTAACATAACTTTATTCTGAGATCACGAAGACAATGTTTATGAGAAACGGTCTTGTTCCTGACGTTCCATTCTCTCTCAACAGAACAACCATCTGCAAATGCAAGTTATATGTACCTAGGTCGAGAAGTCAACATGACAAATGACCTGGGACCTGAGTTGCGCAGGAGGAAGAGAGCAGCTTGGAACACCTTCAAAAGCGTCAAAGAAATAGCAAAGAGGACGAAGAACCTCTGGCTCAGCTTGGAACACCTTCAAAAGCGTCAAAGAAATAGCAAAGAGGACGAAGAACCTCTGGCTCCGGGCACATTCTTCGATTCCACTGTTCTTCCTTCACTAACATACACCTCAGAGACCTGAGCCCTACAAAAACAGGATGAGAATGCTATTCGGGTCTCCCAAAGAGGAACTGAAAGAGCTATGCTTGGAGTATCACTTTTCACTCAAATGAGAGAAAGAATCCGGAGTTTCGACCTCCATCGACGATCAAGAATCAGGGATGCTGTCTCATTTGCCAAGGCATCGAAAATCAGATGGGCTAGACACATAATGAGATTTCGAGATGACCACTGGACTAGAGCCGTTACCGACTGGATTCCACGGGACGTCAAAAGACCGCATGCGGCTGCCCACCTACAAGATGGTCAGACTTCTTCATCAAGACCCTTAATGATAGGTTTGAGGCTCTTCCTGTTCCTAGAACAAACAGACGCCATTGGGCTACACTAGCATGCAACAGGGATGAATGGAGATGTTACTGGCGCCAGCTCAAGCAAATCGATGAGTAACGGGAAGTCAAGTGATCAAGTGATTCTGAGATCACTTTGTTATAGAACGATAGTCTATTCCTACATCATTATGAATTTCAGTCAAGTTTTAAACTATGCGTCAGTTAGAATTGGTAGAAAATAACTGTACACAGCACTACATTATAGCATTGTCCTCCCATTGTTCATCGATTTGCTCGAGTAAGCCCAGTAACATCTCCACTGAGAAACTTACTGTACTTGTTCTTTAAACCCGTCTTCTCCCTTGAACATGTACCTAACTTGCTTGTCTCTAAGTCTCTTTGCCTTTTTCACTCTGGAAAAGCCCAGGTTCTTTACTGAACATGTACTCCCGGTCTTTCTCTTCCCACATATCTTTCTAAGGAAGTTTCATTCCATAAAACTATCTTGCTTCACAAAAATAAGTAAAAGATAAGCCTAATCAAGTTAGCATATCCGTGTCTGTATAATGTGTATCTATATATACACATAATACACACATTAATATACACACACAAACTAAGGGTTGTAGAATTTTCAAAGGAATTCTTCAATAGAATAATAAAATCAGGACAGTAGTGAGCTAATAAGAAAAATAAGAAAAATTGTGAAAACTTCTGTGGTATACTTGTCTGAATAGTTTGATACATCATTTCAGATATGGTAACTCATAAA